AGATGATTCGTGTAGTGCTCCATGCCGTCCGGGCTGCTGAAGTTGTAAATGTTCTTTTCTTCTTCGCTGAGTAAGCGAGTGAAGGTGTGGGTAATGGGACGAATCTTATTGCTTGGTAACTTAAAGCGTCGTAGGATAGTAATGGAGGTGTCGCAGTCTACTTGAAAATGGATGTACTTATGGTCTGAAGCACTTTCCTCGTCTAAGATGGTCCAGTTTTGGATGAAGGATGCTATGTTGCTTGTAGATATGGTGAGATCCGGCCAGCCCTTTCCGTAGGTACTATCGTAGGATGGTGGCGCATTTGGTGCGTTCAATAGCTGCAGGTCTTGGATTGCTAGGAAGTCTTCGAGTTCTTTTCCTTTCATTGTGGTGTCTGCGTAACCCCATATGGAGTTATGCGCATTGAAATCACCACCTAGGAGGAGTGGTGTGAAAGGATACTTTTCCTTTGTTTCCTGTATGTTGACGATGGCATTGCTGATATCTTCCATGGGGGAAGAGTAAACAGAGGCAGCTATGATTTTTGTATGTTGTTGTAAACGAGTAAAATGGCGATGTAGTCTCTTTTGAGTGTGATAACGAGAGGGGACCAAGAAGGATTACAACAGGCGATAACTGCTCTGGGGGCTTGATCATTCGTACCTGCTTGTGATTGAAAAATTTTCCAGGCTGTTGGAAGGCTGGCTACACGACGATCTTTACAGTATGGTTCTTGTATGAGAAGGAGGTCCAGGTTGTGGGTGATGACATGCTGGACCAGTTGGGAGGCAGCTGCTTGAGCTCTTTGTAAATTGATCTGAGCACAGCGTATTGGTCCATTTGTCTTGGGAGTGTCTGTGATTGCTGTTGTGAGGATATCGTTGCTGAAATTCTGTAAATCATCCATAGGTGGTATTGCATTTAATTCTGCTGATGTACCGTCCATAAGTTGGGCAGGTGACATCGTAGGCTGGGTGGTTGCAGGGTGATTTGCTTTTTTGTGCGGTAGTTGTAATCCGCACAGTTGATGCAAGTGGCCTTTTGGGATTTGCAATCTGTGATCTTGTGATTGCCTGAGCAGTATGAGCAATATGCTTTGTTTTTGCATCTGTCTTGGGTATGCCCAAACTCCTGGCAGCGGTAGCAAGCGACGGGTATTGAAATGTTCAGCGATGCGGTATGCCCGCCAGCCGAGATACAATCTTGATGATTGCATGATGGTGTGGAAAGCTGCGGGTTGGCATTCAACGATCCACTTGACGCCATTGCCCCTATCTTTTAACCTATAGAGGACTTTGGCGTTGCTTTTGGAGATCTTAAATTCTGAGCCAATAGCTTGCTCTATTTCCTCCTGAGTGATATTAGGAGGGACGATGTGGATTGCTACCCGTGGGAGTCTAATGATTGGCAATCTCGTTTTAACGATTTCTCGACCCTGTGTACTTTGGAGTGCTTGGGTGAGCTTTTCGAGATCTTCTTTAGTGGCACAGTCGACTGCTAGTCCTTCCTCCTGGATGTTACGGACTGTCGCGATTTTGATGCCCAATGAGGGAAGTGGGAACTGTGCGCTCAGCTTCTCTTTGAGCTCCTTTCTGGTTGTTCTGGTGTCCTCTTTCGGATAAACAAGCAGAGTGTGCTTATAGGATTGTGAGGTCGCTTGAGCGTATGTGCGCGTGATGTTGTAAGTAGGCAGAATAGGTGTGGCAATGGGTGGTGAGGTGGCTAACTCCTGATCTGTGTTAACTTCCGCATCAGTTGTTGAAGGTACGGAGGACAGTCCTCTGAGGGCCAAATTTCGGAGAGCTTCCAGAGTTGTTGTTAATTGGTCTCTGAGATCAGCAGGTAACAGGAATCGTTTGTTCCTGATAGTTGTACCAATTGTTTTTGCTTCTTCAATAAGTGAGTTCACTTTATCGGAGTAGTAGTTATATTGCACTGATTCGATTAGAGGATAGCTGTGTCTAAGTTGCTATGGTGCACTGACGTGTCGGCTTCTGGCATGATACACTTGTGTTGTTGGAGCTATGTAACACTATGATCACTATGTGAAATGCCGAGGTCTGTAATAAATTTCTGATAAGTAACACAAGTACTGGAGTAAAATTCTAGGGGGACTGTAGATAGAGTATTAAATAAAAAGACCTCTTGGTATCTAACACAAAGAAAATTACTAGCACAGTAAGTCGCAGATAAGCGATGCTAACTAGATAACATTATTTACCATGCTAGAGGCATAATTGTGAATGCAGAACAAAATGTAATTAAAAAAATGGATTACTATGACTATTAAAATCAAAGCAACATTGTAAACAGGTAAATTTAGCTAAACATCAGCAAAAAAAAAAAGATACTAAACAATTTGCTAATGCTGGCAATACTCTAGACTGGTAAAAAGTATAAAGCTTACTGAATATAAATAAATTATAGCTTAAGTAGCTGCTGAATGGGGATAACTACTGAGGAATTGGAAAGCTACAGATGAGGTGGCAGGAGGAATGAAAAAATAATGAGCTTAATTAACTAAGTAGTTAAATATGTTAGTGGGAGTTGAGATAGAGGAGGAGGAAAGGGGAAGGGAGATTGGCGTAGAGTTGTTAGCGCATTCGAGGGATCAGAAATTAGAGAAATTGAGATTAGATAATGCAATAAATTAGAATTATATTAGCCGTATGCAGTAAGCTGGCGAATTATTGAAAGTGTTAGTGGGAGTTGAGATAGAGGAGGAGGAAAGGGTAAGGGAATTGATGTGAAATTCGTAAGGAGTTGTTAACGCATTAGAGGGATCAGAAATTAGAGAAGTAAAAAAAAATTATATAATATAATACAATAAATTAGAATTATATTAGCCGTAAATTATATAATACAATAAATTAGAATTATATTAGCCGTGTGCAGTAAGCTGGCGAATTATTGATTATACATTGCAGGAAATTAAGATTATATTAACATGTAAAACACAGTAAATGAGAATTATAATACAAAAATAATGCAGAAGATTAAAGTTATGTTAACCGAGGAGCAGAAAACTGGAAATCATAAAGAATATACAACGAAAAGAATAATAATAGTAAAAAAAAAAAAAAATTACAATTTCTAGAAAGCACAATAACTGAGCGTTATAATGAGATTATTACTCGGAAGGCACAGTATTTCAAAATTAAAATGATTATACAAGCAGAAAATTAAGATTAAAATTTCCGAGAAAACATAATACTCAGTTAATATTCTACGTACTACGCGTTAAAAATGTTACTGAAAACAGTAAGCAGGAAATGTGAGAATCATTATTAAAATTTAAAATATATATATACAGACAACAAGCAGTATGTTCAAAAATTAGCCATGGGGTGCTAGAAGAAAAGATCTAATAGTTGAGGAAATGCTGCGCTAGAATAAATCAGTCTTGTAACACTGATATAACGTTGAAGAAATATATATTGATGTGCACCAGGTAAAGAACTAAGTCTTGGAAGTAATCAGTAGCGCATGGGAAAATAGTTCTTGCAAAGTTCTTTAGATGGCAGTGCAGAGTTGACTTCCGTAATAGCTCCCAAGTGACCTTACAGGGTAAGGGAATGTAGAGGGGGCTGGACAGTGGACGTTGTACTTAGGCCAGTAGCAAACGCTCCACAGTGAGCGCATGCGCAGACTATATAGTAGCAGAGTGTCTCAGGGACCAACCCTGCGGTGTTATAAAGTGACGCCAACTGACAGAGTCGAAGAGGGTAGAAACGTGAATTAAAAACGATTAAAAATCATTAAAAGTTTAATAAGTATTGTTATAATTAGGCTATTGACATAAGTGATATACCAGATGATTGATAATAGGAAGGCCTACCTCCTTATTGTTAAATGAAGGCTGTAGCACCAGGGGTTCCGGAGTAATCCTTTGTAACGATTGAGTAAATGGCTAAAAAGTGATCTTCATTAAAAACTATATAAAATCACACACGCTCGGCACACACTCACAAAAATTGTACGAGAGGAGAGCGAAATGTATCCCCTATTCAACCGTATGACGATTGTGGATGGATTACTTCTAGATTTTACACAATCGATTTATATAAAACAGGTAACAATCGGCACTTCACTCAGTAAAACAATGGAAATTGCGTGGTATCCGTCGCGAGAAACACAATAATTAAAAATGTAATATCTCCGGAACTGCTGAAGTTATCCACTCGATTTTTACACCGAATTAATCCATAGATTATGCACTTTCCGATAATATAACACTTAGAATCCTAGGATGAGTAATTCCGTTGATGACTTTGGCTTACTACAGAGCTCGTGCATTTCGCGGCAACAATCTTCTTCGTACACAGGAAGTCACGGTGGTAACAGGAAGATGACCGCCAAGCTTCACCGTTTGAGTTGAACCTTCCCTCCTTTTATTCTAACCTCCTTGGTTCAATCCGTGTTCAGCCCACCAGCGGCCGAGCGGTAACGTCGCTGAACACTGGTAGTTCGGTCCGAGGTTCGAATCCTGTGAATGGGCTGGCTGCATGGGTGTTTTCGTGGTTTTCCCATGTGTAACGTGTATACGAGCCAGTTTCCCTTAAAACGTCCTCCACGAAGGCATCACTCCCTTAAGGCAGATAGCCCTCGAGTGCTTTGCCGTAATCTAATAGAACAAACAAACAAACAAAAAATCCGTGTTCAAATTCCAACGAACTCTTTGCATGGGCACGTTTGTTGTCTTCCCTATGTGCAGTGTGGTTATGAGACAATTTTCCATAGGAAGTCCTCTATGAACGCATTCCTCTGCTTAGGCAGACAGAAATCACTTGATATACGATAATTAAACAAAACAAAACCGGGTTTATCTAGTACATAAGCATATTATACCTCTTACACTAAACTGCCATTGAAAAAAAAAAAAAAAAAAGATCTAAATTGTTTTGACCGAATGAAATCAAGTTGAATTCTCAAATATTTAAGAAAACCACATAATATATATATAAACATAATTTAAGATATATTATAATTTACTAGTTTTTTTAGAATTTGCTAACTAATTCTGTAATTTTTGTTATAGTGTTTCTGAACTCAAGTTCCTGTTACAACAACAACATAAACGTACGACAAAACTGCGTAAAAAAGTATTCCAAAAGTTCAAAGGAGGATGCAAAGACACTTTGCTGGTACGCCGGTCTTCTTGACAAATCTTACCCTTTTCAATTTAAATTACTTTAAAAAGAATTATGAGCACTTAAGTCTTTTTCAAAAGTGCTGGTTAAAAGAATTTAGCCTCGTTTGTAATAATATCTTAGAAAGCTTGTATTACTTAAGAAGGTATTTCTTAGGCAGCCAGCCATGTTAAATAGCTTTATGTAATCATTAAGCTAAAACAATTAAATTAGAAAATTATATCATAAAAATATTTTAGCTGAATTAATATTATTCTTGTCATTTGAAAACGAAACATCTTATCAAATGATAGAGCGGTTTTACTCTTTCTTGGAACACCTCTCAAGTTTAAAGAATTTTTTTCGGTACTTTTTACTTAATTTCTGCTTAAAATTTTAATACATTAAGCCGAAATCATTTTGTTTATTTTAATAAAGAAAAATCTTTTCTCTTTTGTTGAAAAAATTACTTTACGTAAAAATAAGTATACAGACTAATTTGCTTTTTAATTTAAGAGTTGCAAATACTTTTTACACTTTCTTTTTACAAAAAGAATATTATCAGGCCTTGTTTGTCTGCGTCCGTTGAAGTAATAAACACATATGTTTTCATTGGTTGGTTAACAGTAGACGTAAATATTTCATTTGTTTTTGCAATGTATAGAAATATCTATATACAATACTAGATAATAATTTATTTCCTAAACAGTATTGATTAATTGATTATATTATCTCCTAAGTTTAATTAAAGTAGAATTATTTTAAAAGTGTGCATCCATACTGGTAAGTTATATTTTGAAAGATGTTTTGAAGTAATTTGAAAGCAAAATGTTAATAATGTTTTAACGGGGACTGGAGTTAAATCATCACGAAGAATAATATTACAATTGTAAAAGGAAAAATTAAAACATGTAATTATTGTCATTGATCGGAAATTAGTTGACTTTTCAAGGGAACAAACCAACCCCCGTTCAATGAACAATAATTGATAAAAATACGTAAACATGAAAGTGTTTCGCTTTACTCGAGTTATAAGTTTTAAAGCCAAACCGGCATTCTAGTCAGGCCAAATATTTCCGCGAATAGTTGCTACTCAAAGAACTTATTCTCATGAAGCATTTTAGTCAATTCAATTTGGAGTAAAAATAAATTACTGTAGAGAAATCCTGTAAAACTCGAGTAATCGTCCCCGACACTATCATCTTTATGTATTTGAGTACTATATTATTTGTAGAAATTAAACATTGGAAATTGTCATTATGAAATCGAAAATCAAAGTAAAGTTGAAATAAACATAGAAGATTATAAAAAAAGAAATAATGCAAACTTAGTAAAAACAAATCAAAGAAAACATAAAAATAATATAAAAATAATATAGAAAATAATAAAATAATATCAGTGAATGTACATGAAGATATAAAGGCCAGAATGGTATTAAGTAACTTAGATTCTTTCTAGTGGGGGAGTTGGCAAGTGTTCTTTTTCGTGTCTGACTCAGAAGTGTAGGGTGTCCGAAAATTCTTAGCGGCAGTAGGGGCTTTGAATAATATCAGTCGGTAAGACTTGGGTGAAGTAATTTATGGTAGTGGGTGGGACTTGGAATTCTTGAGGGATGTATTTGTGGAGTTCTTATCTGAGAGAGACCGTCTGTTAAGATTTTTTTCGAAAATACTAGTGAATGGAAATTAATTAATTTCTGGCTAATTGTCGTGTCGCAATGATTAAGAATTTAAGAAAGGAAAAAGGCTTTTTTCGCTGTCCAAGAGCTAGTAGACAGTCTAAAGGCAGGAAATAGGCCCATTTTTTTAGTAACAGTATAGTAACAGTATATGTCTGAAGACAATTAGCTTTTTACAATATATATACAATTGAGTAATTACACTATATACAAATCTTTCAACTGACAGTCATCCAACTTATAACCGCCTTCTCAGGTTTAGGAATAAATTATCATATCCCTATCAGTTAAATGATTTAGAGTGAGTATTTAACGCCTGCTCTTTTAAGGCAATGGTTGATAAATTGAAAGGGAATTAGATTATTTTTGAGAATTTTGATAAGATCAAATTTCGCGTTGTAAATCTATTGTATCTGTGCATATAGTTTTTAATTCGTTGTCATTTGATTAATTATAGTATTGTTAATTACTTTTTTGGATATGTTGGAGTTCCAATTTATTAATTTGTTAGTACTGAAATTGAAGTTTCTTGTTTTGTCAAAAAGTAAAATTTTTTTGTAGTTAATGATTTGAAGATCTAGAAAGTCTATGTTATTTTGTGAATTATTAGTTTTATTAAGTTTAAGACAATTCGGATAAATGTCGGAGTTTTCAATTTTACCAAAATTATTAATTGTAATAAGGTCATCAATATATCTGTAGGTGTGTTTGTAGTAATTTAACTCTTGTGGTTGTAGATTTTTTTGGAAGTTAAATTCTTTGACAAATAAAAAGATATTACAGATCGAGGTGCTGGAATGTAAGCCCATTGGCAATCCTCGGACTTGTTTAAAAAGTTGATTTTGAAACTTGATGTAGTTATGAAAAAGTGTGCATTTTAGGTAGGTTTTCCATTTGTCAAGAGTTTGCTCTTGACAAATGGAAAACCTACCTAAAATACTCTTGACAAATGGAAAACCTACCTAAAATACTCTGACAAATGGAAAACCTACCTAAAATGCACACTTTTTTATAACTACATCAAGTTTCAAAATCAACTTTTTAAACAAGTCAGAGGATTGCCAATGGGCTTACATTCCAGCACCTCGATCTGTAATATCCTTTTATTTGTCAAAGAATTTAACTTCCAAAAAAATCTACAACCACAAGAGTTAAATTACTACAAACACACCTACAGATATATTGATGACCTTATTACAATTAATAATTTTGGTAAAATTGAAAACTCCGACATTTATCCGAATTGTCTTAAACTTACTAATAATTCACAAAATACATAGACTTTCTAGATCTTCAAATCATTAACTACAAAAAAATTTTACTTTTTGACAAAACAAGAAACTTCAATTTCAGTACTAACAAATTAATAAATTGGAACTCCAACATATCCAAAAAAGTAATTAACAATACTATAATTAATCAAATACAACGAATTAAAACTATATGCACAGATACAATAGATTTACAACGCGAATTTTGATCCTTATCAAAATTCTCAAATAATCTAATTCCCTTTCAATTTATCAACCATTGCCTTAAAAGAGCAGGCGTTAATACTCACTCTAAATCATTTAACTGATAGGGATATGATAATTTATTCCTAAACCTGAGAAGGCGGTATAAGTTGGATGACTGTCAGTTGAAAGATTTGTATATACTGTAATTACTCAATTGTATATATTGTAAAAAGCTATTGTCTTCAGACATATACTGTTACTAAAAAAATGGGCCTATTTCCTGCCTTTAGACTGTCTACTAGCTCTTGGACAGCGAAAATGCCTTTTTCCTTTCTTAAATTCTTAATCATTGCGACACGACAATTAGCCAGAAATTAATTAATTTCCATTCACTAGTATTTTCGAAAAAATCTTAACAGACGGTCTCTCTCAGATAAGAACTCCACAAATACATCCCTCAAGAATTCCAAGTCCCACCCACTACCATAAATTACTTCACCCAAGTCTTACCGACTGATATTATTCAAAGCCCCTACTGCCGCTAAGAATTTTCGGACACCCTACACTTCTGAGTCAGACACGAAAAGAACACTTTGCCAACTCCCTCACTAGAAAGAATGTAAGTTACTTAATACCTTTCTGGCCTTAAATCTTCATGTACATTACTGATCTTATTATATTATTTTCTATATTTTTTTATATTATTTTTATGTTTTCTTTGATTTGTTTTTACTAAGTTTGCATTATTTATCTTTTTTATAATCTTCTATGTTTATTTCAACTTTACTTGATTTCGATTTCATAATGACAATTTCCAATGTTTAATTTCTACAAATAATATAGTACTCAAATACATAAAGAGATAGTGTCGGGGACGATTACTCGAGTTTTACAGGATTTCTCTACAGTAATTGATTTTTACTCCAAATTGAATTGACTAAAATGCTTCATGAGAATAAGTTCTTTGAGTAGCAACTATTCGCGGAAATATTTGGCCTGACTAGAATTGCCGGTTTGGCTTTAACTTATAACTCGAGTAAAGACGAAACACTTTCTATTTACGTATTTTTATCAATTATTGTTCATTGAACGGGGGTTGGTTTGTTACCCTTGAAAAGTCAACTAATTTCCGGTCAATGACAATAATTACATGTTTTAATTTTTCCTTTTACAATTGTAATATTATTCTTCGTGATGATTTAACTCCAGTCCCCGTTAAAACATTATTAACATTTTGCTTTCAAATTACTTCAAAACATCTTTCAAAATATAACTTACCAGTATGGATGCACACTTTTAAAATAATTCTACTTTAATTAAACTTAGGAGTTAATATAATCAATTAATCAATACTGTTTAGGAAATAATTATTATTACTAACTTTGCCAGCAATTGCGCAGTAATATAACTTGTATTCGCACTAAATGGATTTAAGTTCATACAATACTAGATACATATACATTATATATTACATACCTATACTAGGTCTTACAGGTCAATAATTTTCTTTTATCTCCTCAAATGCAAACATGAATATTAATTTTTAGTAGAACGGATTAAAAAATGTGGAAATGAATCTTTTACTTTCCGTCCGTTATGAATATAAATTTCAGTTTTGCTTTCCGTTTTCTTCAAAATGTTGACAACTGCCATTTCCAATTTTCTTTTAAGTTGACATAAGTACTTCATGCCAGTTAGAGAAAATAAAGCTTAATTTTAGGGAATAAATTTATATTTTATGCAGAAATTTTAAATATACTGACGTACAGTTTGCTATTCCACGAAAGTTTTAATCTAAACATTGAGATTCTAGAATCAGAAAGAGTATCGAAATCGAAAAGAGTCGAATTTATCGAAAAGAGTATTTGGTACTATTTTGTTATCGGGATCGGATTCACATATCGCCGAAAGCTGACGATCTGGAGAAAAATTTGAAGCATATAAATAATCGCCGAAATGTTTACGATACGGTTTAGTTGAAAAAAAAATCCAAAGGAAAAAATAACGTAACAGATATTCGTGCAGTTAGAAATTTTTAATTTAAATTAAGCAACTTACCAAATAAATTAAATAAAAAATCAGGTAGAGAGTTCAGTGAATTAATAATTATGAGGAGGCATGAATCTGTGGATAACATTTAAAATGTGTGAATGTGTGAAAAGATTCTCGTTTTAGAACGTTGCTTCCGCTACATTAACTCAAATAAGAATCAAATTGGTTACGTTCATTGCCGCGTTAAAGTCTGTGTCGCACAGTCCCATAACTTTTCAATAAGTTTGAATGTGATAACTATTATCGGGATCGATAAAATTATACATATGGTTAACGCAGAAATTTTCATATCCGGATATTCACATCTCCATTCTGGTGGTTCTTTCGAAATGAAGTAGAACATTTTATGGTTTTTCGTGCACTTCTTTCAGAGTGAATGATTCTTAGTTCCTGAACAAATTGTATGGAAGATGTTTCATCATTAGGTAAATCTCAAGTTTTCAAATCCATGGTAAATACAAGAATAATAAAAACAAAAGTGACCATTACATCTTTAGAATTTGTATTCTCGTTGCCAATTTTGAAATGCATTCTTTCACTTTTTTAAAATGTAAGCATTGTAACTATTTTAAAAGTAAACATTGGTGACTTCATATAAGTCAATCTGTTGGCGAGTTTAGCAGAACATTTGGCGACGACTGCGGCCCCGATAACAGAACAGTACCGGGTATTCTAAGGATACGTTATATACTCTAGCTTGTTACTTAATCAATAATAAATTAATCTTATTAAAAATTCATCAACCCTTTACTAAAAATTCATTATTGTTATAAAAAGGCATTATTATTCATTATTATTTATTCATTTATTTCATTTTGATTATGAATAACATGAAATATTAAAAAAAATATGCAATTATTAAGGGAAAAACAGTTATCTCCAAATACAATTCCTCGAAATCATTAAAGTGATTTAAAGCAAATTTTAACTGTCAATTCATTGGATGTAAAACTTTATTTCGGAAAAAATATCAAATTCCTGAAATGTTTATGCATTATATTTACTCTTCTAGCCGGAATCTGGACATTCAAAAGTGTCTCAAAAAGGAAATGAATGTGTGCCCTAAAAATAACACAGATTTCCAGAACGAAGTCATCGATGCTTATACAAGCCCTCACAATGTTCTCTGCGCTAACTACACCAAGCTCTGCAACAGTGCATCTGTACATATTGCGTCAGCAATAGTTTTGCTCCTCACTATTAAAGTAACCTTTATGAATACTGTTCCATGAAAGGAAGAATGGGCATTTCATACACTGAGAACCGATTATCAAAGCAGCAAATGCTAGATAAGAATTTAGTTTTTCTAGCAAAAAATCGAACTAATGAATTATACATAAAAACAAATGAAATTCAAATTGTTCCTGCTTAATAATGCGAATTAATTATATATATTATTAGATGACTGCATTTAAAGGTCCATATAAATTATCTTTTCTTTTATCTTCATATTAATATATGTTCGATCTTGCTGAAGAAAGAAGGAAGTATGTAGGCATAATCATTGTAAATGTTATAACTTTAATTCATTTTGATTATAAATTGTTGTAAAATTCAGATCCTAATGGTAATTAAACTGTTGATTTCGAACAAAACGTACAAACTATCATTTCGTTTTTCTTAAAATTTCTGAATGAAATTCACTCGACCTTTCAGATTTGGAAACTAATATTTTGCTATTTTATTCAAAGTAAAGTACTGCATATATCTGAACACTTCAAATAAAAGAATAAGTTTAAGAAAATATAAGTTAAGAAATTTCGCAGTAAATGATATGCATGAGGTATGTCTTTTTTTATTTTTGTACCTTGTACATATATTATTGTTTTGAATTCATCAGTTGTTCAGACACCTTTTTTTAACTTTGATAATGAAATTAGATTTTGATGATACTGGAAAATAAAAGATTTATTGGAGTGCTGTCTCTTTCTTACTTTCAGTTTCCTATCATGATTAACAAGAAAAAAATTCGTAAGCTTTCATTACTATTCTCAAAAAATTCAAACAATTCTAAAATACTACAGTGTTATTTGAATATATTACATCCGCACATTCAAATAGTGCTATAAAAATGTATGTTAGAAATTAGCAAAGAAGCACAAAATTAGTATGAAGTGACACATTTTATGAGTGAGTGATGTAATTAGAGAGCTCTAAACGCCAAAGTTCTGAAAACTTTGCCCATTGAAAAAGAATGAGCTGTATTTACATGATAATCATTTGAACACGCAAATATGCTCAAGGTGTTCAAAGATACAAGATCCCACTGGCTTAAAGAGTGCCTATAGGAATTGTGTGCAGGCTTAGATCTATAGAAAATTACATTAAATGAAGGTTTTTGAAGGACAGTGGTCCTCCCAGACTCACATATAAGCATGTGAAGATGAAGCAGGCTTTGTTTTCGGGCTAAATTACGTAAGGCCATTTAAACCGCTAAAAGTTTTATGTGATCACTGCGGCAAAATCGAACTCGCAATCCCAAGATAAAAAATAGTATTATTTCAAAACAACCGAGAAACTCGCTAGAAGCCTCGTTTTCTAACTCCAAGGTAAAGTCATCATAAATGCAAGCTTGTTTTTCCGCTTAAGGCATAAATAGGGCTTAGATGAATCACTTTATAGGATGTATCTGTTACCAGAAGCAAGTCCAGTGTACAAACCGACCCTCAGAAGCCTCATCTGGGCCGGAAGATTTAAAGTAACGATCATGCAAACCCTTCATTATGGATTTTTATAAATACTTGAGGTATAGTCTTCAACCAAATAAATCCCAGCTATTCTAATAGACTAGAGGATACGTTGATCTCGTAACATATCAACTTTGTACATTACACAGCAAAAGTATATACTATTTTGCATCGAAGTAAAAATTTACAAATTAAAATAAATGCACACTTTTGCAGAAAATCAACGTAAAGGCGAAATCAGTAATTCGAATATAGTTCTATTTCATTCATAGAAATATATTTTATAAAGTTAGGTAGTCTTAATCTAATTAAGGTATCCTTGCTCATGTTCTTGAAGTTATGATATTTATCAGTTTTTAATATATGTATGTAGTATGGTTCTGATAGGATTAAACATGAAAATACTGAATGTTTCAAATCTGCTTCACCGGAACAATATGGGTTAAAACGTTTCTTTATAAGGAAACTTTTATGTCAGGTTTTTGTAAAAATTTCCAGTGTTTTTTTAACGAGAATTTATATTTTTAAATAAACACTATCATAATCATCAAGGTATTTTCCTTGACAAAGTCAAGGAAAAATTAAGTTCCTTGACAAAATTCTTCGACAAAGTCAAGGAAAAATTAATCAAAGTATTTTCTTTGATAAAGTCAAGGAAAATACCTTTATTAAGATAGTTTTTATTTAAAGTGATTAAGATAGTGTTTATTTTGTATTTTTCTTGACTTTGTGGAAATAAGGTAATTTTTGTATTCCATGCTCAAAGAAGGAGTATGGCTTACAGGCGATGATGCAATTTTTGATATTATAAATGTCTGGAAAGCGCCGGCTGCAAAGTCTGTGCCATAGGGACCTAAACAGATGATTATTTTGAGGCTGACGTTTGTATAGCACAGTTCCTGTGCTATTTAAAGCGAAGTTCACACCAGCTAGAGCAAAAGGTTTTTGGACTACTTGGAAAGGGAGCCCCCAGATCCCGGCATTGTTGAGAACTGGAAGCTGGGAACGATCGCTAAAAAATAAAATTTGAGAATTTCTTATTCCACAATATAAGTCAAAAATTGCTATTTATCAATGCGAAGTAGCACAATAATCACTTTTCCACAGGAGTTCGAAAATCTCAAAGAACTCAAGTATCTCGCGGGTATTTTCTGAAGAAATTTCATCAGGTTTCCTCCTTCCAGCATATTACAAAAATGTTATGATAAACTTGGATGTTATAAAAATTGTATGCTCTTAATAAACAAACATTCCTTAGAAACCAGTACATTGTGTTGCATTGACGCTATAACTTAAAATTTAGGGAATGATGAAAATTAATCTTTTTTAACCTATTGCCAGAATATAAAATATTAACTGTACTTACTCTGCACTGCAATATCAAATAGAAACACAACAACTAAGTTTCATAAGTGATTAATTATCTACTAATAACTATTCCAATATCTATCAGTCTGGCCATATAAAGATTACTAAAACGAAATTACAAATTCTTCTCCGTGATAAGTCCTTGTGAGTTCGAACACACCGAAGTCCTGCCCTGAAGATTATGACATCATGTGGATATCTATTTTCATCTTCCTAAAAACTTCATTTACGGAAACTTAAATAAGGAAAATTATTTGAAAAAAACCATTCCGTTGAAAGAACGTCGGCTATTTTTCAGACACGGAGATAGTTCTTGATACCTTAGAAGCAGATTGAAGTAAGACATTAGCACGTGACAAAGTGAAACAAATGCAAAACGTGGTCGTCTCCGGAACATATTTCCTCTTCTGGTAAAATAAATTCCTTTACTCAGGAATGAAGCCGCTCGAAGATTATTCTCAATATATTGCGACTATTTGTTAACTAATTTCCATCATGACAAATTGTAAGCATGCAAAAAACTCGACACAGACTTTAACACAAATTAGAGGAAAAGAATGAGTCCGAAGCCTTCGTCTATACTTTTCACCGTTCAAGAGAGAAAAAAAAATCAGTTCGACGACATTTTAAGAAATCGCTCTCAACTTCGGTGGCGATTAAAGAATAAAAGCTCAAATATGAATGTTAGCACGCAGCACATCAAGTGAAAAGAAAGTCAGCAATAGCTTTAAGGGGATTCGTACACCTTAAAACCCATAAGATCTTCGAATATGTGACTGTTGCAAGAATAGGGTTAACTATTATTTTAAAGCAGTACTTCCAACTTTTACAGTGGTTACATAAATAGCGCGTCTGAAAAGTAATGAGAAATTTTGTGTTGCCACAAATATTTTTAATTTAAGCCGCTTTGCGACAAAATTGTCGTACACCTCGCGCGCACGTTTAAAACATATGTGCATCATTTATTCCATTTTAATGTAGCTTTTATACCATTGGAATCTGTAAACAAAAGTATAAGAATTCATGTTAAATTTTTATTTTATTTGGAGTTGAGATTATAAATGTTTTATAAAAAAATCTGTAATGTTTTCGGCTAAATTTTTTAATAAAAATTTCATCGATTTGGTTCAGTTAGAAGATAGTTCCGTTTAAATTCCTCAATTTCAGTTGCACCATAGCCATTTTAAAAATCATGCGCGCAAGGTTGAAACATGACGAAAACTTTGTCACAAGCAGATTAATTACAAATATTTGTGGCAACAAAAACTTTATGGTTACTAGTCGAAAGCACTATTATTATAGCGTAAAAGTTGGAAATCATGCTTTTAAAATAGACAAGTTAACCCTTATCTTGCAACAGTCACATATTCGAAGATCATGAGGGATTAAAGGTGTATGAGCCCCCTTAAATCTTAAAACTTAATAGAAAACTCTGTGGGGCCTGAATAATCGATTAATAAAATTCTGACGCAAGCTCATTATCGAAAAAATTCAGAGATGTTTTACTTCCTTGTACGAAGTAAAAAGGAAATATTGTAATCGCGAAAAGTTTCAGGCAGCATATTTCAACGAAAATATCCATTTTTGACCGCTATCGAATGCAATTTAAACGATGTTTTTGCGTGATATCTGTACGTAGGACAGAAAAAAGACTCGTTTCCTCCAAAAAAAATTATAAAACTGCTTTAAAATTAATTCTGAAGATAATTTTTCGTGGCGTCTGTACGAACGTACGGACGTACGTATCTCGCAACTCGAAAAACGGTGCCTCAGAACTTGAAATTTTGTATATGAGGACTGCTATACATGTAGATGTGCACCTCGTTTTGGTTGCAATCGGCAGCACCCAACGTATATAAATTCTATTTTATATATATATTACTCTGTTACTCGGCACAGGATCTCAGTTCTTGATCTTATGTTTGTAAATTGTACATTTTTTGCTTTAAAAATGATTGAATTAGTTGTTCTTATCTGCCGGTTAAGCTTTTTATGGCTTTCGTAATTCGGAAGCAATATTTGTACAATTCTCAACAATTTAAAAGCTGTTTAAGTGCGGTTAAGTTTTAATAAATGGCCGACATATTTGTTTACATTTGAAAAGCAGAATTGAGATTTTTGCAATCTAGAGAGTACTAAGTTTCGCAAACAAAAAATAACGCCTCATTTATTATTGCGAATTAAATCATGTTAATCCTTCTGATTTTTTCGGAATAAGTGTTTAAATTATTCGTAATTTATACGGATATTTTGAGTGTTTTATGTTTTTGCCTTGTCGCGAAGTGAGAAACTGAATTAATTGAACGAGAAATACTAAATCGTCTGTGAAAAACTGTTCTTTTCTTTTGTTTGCTTAATTTCTTTCATACATTGTTCTACTTTTTAGTTTGAATAGAACATTGTGGCAACGATAATTCTTCAAATGATATAAATTTGTGCTCAGAGTTCGTTATAGACAAGACTTCATGAATTGTGATATCTACTATTTCAAGATGCATTGGCTGTGGACAGTTCGGGAGGGTGACCCCCCGTGACTACCACTGTCCCATCTGTGTTGAATTTGAATATTTTGTTAGCTAATCTGTTGCACTTAGTGTGCCATTTGTCTTCATTTAGATCGCGATATTAGTAATTAAAAGTATTAATTATTCAATCTGGATAACTGTTCAAAAACTTGATAATTTAATATATCATATTTCTATTGGCACACTTAAGTGCTTTGCTCGGAGTCTGAACTTGGGTGGGTGACACCCACGTGACAGGATCTGCCAATCATCTCTCTCCTTCCCTTACAGTCACAAAATTGACAGTTTCGATAAATCGCCTTAATTAAAAACTTAAGTACAAACGCCTTAGGGCAATTTACAACGAGACGGTTAAATAGCGTTGGCTATAATTGCCGCTAGCCATTGACTCGATTTCGATTCGATTTTGTTTATAGTAAACCAAAATATAGTGAATTTTAAAGAGTGTCATTTATTCTATTGTGGTTTTTGCGTGTCACGAATAGTTTTTATTCAATCATCAATTTAAAGAAATTCAAGAGAAAAAAATGCGATAATTAATATCCGTACAAGGGAAGTCATGTGGTGTACACATAGATTTTTCTTCTAGTGTAAACAAATGGATTTTAACATTACATACCCTCAGTGTTTGACAAAACCTTTACTCCATTCATATGTCTACACAAAAAAGTTTTCTCCAAGGTTCCGCTGTTGTTGTTCTTATCTTGTTCATATTACATGGAACAATGCTTGCCAGAGCCTACTCCGAAGAGAGGTTGGACTTCTTTTTTCCAAAGCTTGAATGAGAAGCGGAACTGATATCTCTTTCGCTCTTACCCATTAACAAGACAAGAGGGTATCATTTAAACAAACGTTCGGATTTTGATTAAAGTTGTAAGTATTAATTATCCTGGTTATTTCCGTATTCCTTTCCAACAGTATTTACGAATTACTCAAAGCGGAAGAGCCGCTGTTTTTCATCAAAGTTTCCCTGTTTATAAGCGAAAGGATCGTGTCTCATCAAAAGTAATGACCTTTAGACAGAACACATGACAATCTACAAACTCGTTGTTCACTTTCCTTCCATAATTGCAAATAATGCAATAATTTCTTTCACGTTTTCAATCAAATCCTTTTTATTTTTATATTTTAGCCTTTGAATCCCCAATGGCATATATCAACTGCATTAATTCACGTGAAGAAATTCTCTTTAAATCTTCTTCTACGAAAAAAAGAGATTTTAGAGGCAACTGAGTTTTGTTTTAACAATTTGCATTACTTATTATTTGGGAAAGTCCTCTAAGAATGCTTAAAAGATCTCAGTAGTAAGGCTTGATAGCGTGTAACTTACTGTGAGAATTTATGTAATTATTTTTTGCATTATTCCTTTTCAGCTTAATAAAGCTTTCATACCGCAAAAAAATCTTACGTATAAATATGAATGACATTGTTCATTTTTAAACACTTTAATTTTAATTAATTAAAAGCATGCCTAATGCGATATGTTATGAGATTCGACTAGAATTATGATTGATAAAAATGTTCAATTCTGCATCTGTCTTCACTTTTTGACTAAATTCTAAATTACAGAGTTAATTAGAGTCTACATTTATTTTATGCATTTTTTGTAAATTAAGAAAACAAATACAAAACTCCTCGTGTTCCACGAAGTATTCCACGAGACGTACAGATGTAAGTAAATAACTTATAATACAAGGATACACAATTTAACAATAAAAACACAATATGTAGTTCTCGAGAGAGCAAAGAAAAAAATATAAAATACAAATACTATTATAATAAAAATACTAAAATATACCATGAATAATTAAACTATGTTAATATTCCTATAAAAGAAAAGAAATCAACTTGATTATAATGCAATAATAACAAAAATGAAATAATACTTGAAAATAATATTGATAGAAAGGAAAAATGATACATCTACAATACAACACATCAATACATAACGTAATCACACATAGACAATGCTCAAAATAATACAGTTACAGATAAAATATCAAAATCCAATTATGTAAATAATATTACTAAAAGTTCAAAGAACAAATAAAGTCGCCTAAGCCTGCAAAGGCTTCGTCGCTCCTAACCAAGATGATAGAAAACAGGAGGCCAGCAAATAGAGGGCTGTCCTAAACTGACTGTAAATGCACTTCTGGCATTCGCATGCAACCTACAATGAAATAAAATATGTTCCACATCTTCCACGGCATCGCCGCAAGCACAGAGTCCACTAGTAACAATATTGAAAAAGTAAGTAAATTCCAAAATTCCTACGACCGATCAAAATCTGAGTTCTCTTATAATTCGGTCGAAAATGTCTACACATATGTCGCTGAAAAATACTTGGGAAAAGTCTCTTTAGCCACTGGGCTTTCGAAGAAACAAGATATTCAGCATTCCAAACCAACCACAGTTTTTTCTCAAGCCATTTGCTCCCAATAAGACTTGGAGGCAGACAACATTATTCAATAACGCGATAAGTCGCTTGCTTAGCCAAATGAACAGCCTTCTCATTTATTGAGCCACCTCGTTTATTTCTAAATGTTGGCAAGCAATGTTTATTTCTAAATGTTGGCAATTCTCATCATTTAAAATGAGAGTCATCTCATAAATGACAGGTCAGTCCTCTTATTTATTTTTTGCATTAGTCTAATTTTTTCAAACGTATTAAAATTATTTTAGTTTTGAGAATTTTTAAAATAATGATCTTGCATTTTTATTAAAATTTATGATTCATTCGTTTCTGCCTTTAATAGTCATATAGTCTATACAATAAGCAGATTTCTATAATGCTAATTAAAATTTAGTAACACTTTTTGTGAAATGATTTAGAACAGGAAATTATTCAAACATTTTCGTTGATTATTCCTTTTTTTTTGTTGTTGTTGTTGGGCAGAAAATTGACAGTTGTTCTAGATTTTCAGAATGCCTATTTAATTTATGATTTTCTTAAATAAAGGCAGAAGAAAATAAAGAAATCGTATAGATGGTTTAGAACAAATATAGATAGCTGACAGATTTTCATTTAATCTGGTTGTTCGATTTTCAGAATGCCTATTTAATTTATGATTTTCTTAAATAAAGGCAGAGGAAAATAAAGAAATCATATAGTTATTAATCTGGTTGTAGATTTTCAGAATGCCTATTTAATTTATGATTTTCTTAAATAAAGGCAGAAGAAAATAAAGAAATCATATAGATGGTTTAGAACAAATATAGATAGCTGACAGATTTTCATTTAATCTGGTTGTTCGATTTTACTTGAACGATAAAAGAAATAAGATAGTGGTTCGAATTATAGATTTAGCTCTTCCCAGTGCCACAGTATTAAAGCTTACATTCAATTTTCATGACTTCCAAATGACTAAGTTTTGATCACGTGAAAATTTATATCCTACTAGACCTTTTTATTCTGATGATTACAGTACATAATGCTGTAAAAATAACGTTGGAGAATACAAGCAAAGACAGAAAGTTTAAGAGGCAAGATAGGGCTTTCTTATCAGCAGATAACGCAAACGCTGTACCTCTAGAGATAAATTCAGTCCGTGTATTTTAAACCATTGTAATAACATTTAAAGCTAAAATGGGAGTAGCTTTACTTTCATTTTTATATATTTTAGCAGGTGAGTACCTACATTTAAGAATTTATGTTTCCGTCCTTAGCCTGCAGCATACTTTATTATTTGCATATCTCCAAAACTCCTTTCTTGCTTCTTTCCATAAACTTTAAATTTAGTATTCAGTATAATCAATGTGCTAGTCAATGTGCCCGTTGCGATATTATTCCAACGAAGTAGAAACATTGTGCTTTCAGCATGATATTCGCAGCACTGACTAATTTCGTATTTTCGTATATCTTAAATGTATGAATGGAGTACTATACTGAATACTGAATACTTTTATTTGAAGACTGATAATTTAATACTAATTATTTTGTATTAAGATTTTGAACGTTTGCGCTGTCTAGTTGGATTTTTAAAATAAGAATTAATACATAAAATGATGAACTAAAATTTTAGCTTTTATTACGCATGTATAATATGTGTAGTAAATATTTGCTTAATAAATACGTTTTAATGTATTTAAAGTAAAATTAAATAGTGTAGTAAATATTTGTTTAATAAATACGTTGTTTAAATACACTCATGTCCATAAATTAAGGATAATGCAAAATCGGCAAGGACGAGTTAAAGCAAAACAATTTGACTTCTTAAGATTTTTAAACAAAAGGTATAAAGCAAAAAAAGAGCTATATGTTTGATATATAAAAAAAAGTAGCGATTTTGTCTCCCTGGAGCAAATTACAAAAAAAATATTACAAAAAACAATATTACATGGTGTATGATGTTAATACATGTAGTCTCCAGACGATTTGCAATACAGTCCGTACAACGCCTAGGCATGCTGAGTATCAAATTATCGATCTGATCTTGGGGATATTACACCACTGAAAAGCAAAAAGCATATGTCTCCGAAGTTCGGTGTAGACATGTAGGAGGAAGTTGACGGGCTGTGCAACACGTCGGCCAAGCATGTCCCACACGTGCTCTACTGGTTTCGAGTCCGGTGGGAGAATGTGACAGTCATCGGGGGAATCTCAAGATTGAAGGCATTCGTTACGATGTTGCACGGTGAGGGGGGGCGTTTGTCTCATAAACACCATTGTGCGCCTATGGCCGCCCCGAAACAAACGTACAGAAAGACTCCCGATAGATGGCTTTCATGTTCAATTGAAAATGCAGGTCGTTCTGGAAACCGAATAATTCACCCCACAGAGCATGCTGACCACCGTAACGGTGTCGTTCAATGATGTTTTCTTGGTGGAACGGGTAATGGAGCTCTCCATATACATGTTCGGCGCGAAATCAGACGCAGCTCACCTGGAACGTCGGAAAACATCACACAGCCAATGTTGCGGTTTCGCCACAAGCATGCTCTCTATTCAGGCTAACCGCAGGCGACAGTGAGTTGCAGGTAAGTGGAAGCATCTGAAAGGTTCCGAGATAAAGAACAATTGCCCTAGCGTCTGTACAACGGCCTTGAAATTGTAGTACCAGTGCCGGAAGAGAGTGACGAGACAGGTCTGAGGCTGTGCCCGCCAGTTCTTTGGCAGTACTGCCAATACCGGTCTCTTCGGCGTGTAACTCTGGGGCGGACTTTTGTGGTATGTAACGTGTCTCACATTACCACATCTTGGAATCGTTGCCAAGCCTGGAGATGACACTCTGGCAATTCCAAGTCGTCTGTATTCCAGTTGGGTACGCCCACATTCCGACGGCGATAATCGACTACGTAAAAAATCATCCAAATGCGTCCTTTGTGTCCTAACTATTCGTTATTGCACTGAAATGTTAGCGAACGCCTGCGAAAATTTTATTCTTTGCTGTATCTTTATATATCACTTCTACACTCTCGTCATTGGACGTACCATCGGTGTCATCTGGTTACTTCCTGAATGCATATATGATCTTGAAATGTGTGTGTGTAGGATTTTTCAGGGATATAGTTTTTTAGAGTTCGATTTACGCGTGACTCCGAATTATCCTTAATTTATGGACATGAGTGTATTTGTTTAATGCGTAGTAGATATTTGTTTAATAAAGTTGTAGTAAATATGTGTTTGATAAATACGTTGTAAAAAAAATTCTTTAGCAAAAATTTCCTTTCACCTTTAAATCGGTAAGGAGAAAGACCTTTTATGTGTAACAAGTGCAGTCAGGTACTACCAGAATATTAAATAAAATTACAGTTATGTATATTTGTACTTTTAAAATATGTATTAAGCTATCCAAAAGAATGAATGATAATTTAATTTTAAATTAATTTGGCCTTAATTCTTCCATTTAAAATAAGAAAAGAGCTAAGATTATGCGTACTACTCTGCAGATAGAAAAAAAAATTAACATATAATAGTAGGATAATAGGATATAAATGTAGCAGCTTAAGACTATACTTCTACCGTAACTATACCAATTAGAACCTATTTGTATAGTTTAAAGTTATATTATTATTTAAGAGATATTTCCTTAGAAATTTTTACATGAAGGCATTCCTCCACTTAGGCAGACAGCCCTCGTGTGCCTTGTCGTACTCAACTAACACAGACTAACCATAAAATACTCCTGTAGTTTTCTATCAGTTTAAATGTTATTCAAGGCCAGCTTTTTCAATGTCATGTAAGTCCTGTTATTGTAATAGAAGTACAATTAAAATGAGATAATGAAGCATTAATAACTAATTCTCCGAGCTATACCTCTAAAATTGGAACAAATGGTTTAGTTACATAAGACTGATTTTATGTTTTTAGTCTACATATTAGTTAGAGAAGTCTAATTATCTTTTAAAATCCATCTTTTTTACTTATAGTAAAATGCCCAAGACACAGATTAATTCAGGAGTATTTCTGAAGTATAAAATGAGTTATTTCAAATTAATCAAAATAATATTTAATGCTAGGAATAAGAATGTTAAACATATTTTTGACATTTAAATTCATGAAATACAGATTTAATTTAAAATTTTAACTTGTTTTTTGTTTATCAGTGCGCATTTAACCCCTCCAGATTGCTATCGGTCGAAATTTGGATTTAGGTAATCATCTAGTCCTCGTGTGTTTGCTTCAATTAAATAATGTATTAAAATATTAGTAAAATAGGCAATTATGAAATGTGACTTAATACATAACTAATTTTCAGTTGTGAGGGGCGTAAAATTCACGATTTTAATTTTACAGAGGAAACGAAAAATTTTCGTGATACTTTTGAAACTGAATATTGAGATAGTGTGTTAAGTATTTTATCGTGTAGAGTATCAAAGTTTCTACAATCCAAGCCACGAACAGTTAAGTTTTATACTGAAATGCAGTGTTTAAACAATACACTGGTGGTCATTAAACTCGTTACACCAATGAAAGACAGTACGCAACAAACACCAGCTTTGCCTGAAAGGTACTACATACTGGGTTCTGCAAATGATTAGCATTTCAGCGCATGCGCACAAAGTACGTAAGAGTAACACCATCTGTACTGTATATATATGGGAAGAGTGCACATCGGGTTTCTCATTTAAAAACATAATTTGAATGGTAAAGGTTATAAGTTATATCGATGCAGGAACGTGAAAAATGCGCGAGAATACTCCCAGTTACGCCCCGTAGACATACAGAAAGGAGGGGAAAATCCCTTATAAGGTCTTGTTATGACTCGTTAAGAATAAAAGGCACCTACCAGCATGTTTTGGAATTCAACAGCGGCAGGACAGTGGCTTATCGTGCCAAAACATTGCTGATCGTGTTGGTCGGGATCCCATGACTATCAGTAGAATATGGAATCGATAGATTCGGAAGGACCATACTGAACACCAGGCAGAATCTCAGGCATGGCCATACTGAACGCCAGGCGAGTCACTAACACTCGAGAGGACAGACAAGGCCTCTCAGCCTTGAAGGATCATAGAGCAATGTCACGTACCCTGAGTTACGAATTTGGCGACGTTGAGTTACGAATTTGGCGAAGACATTGCAACGATGTCTGTAGAGCCACGGCGATTATTGTTATTTGATGCTTTGATAGGTTCTTTTGATGCTGCAGCAGACTTTAGGCGCACCTATAGTGGTGCGACGAACGACGACACTGGACACAGGAGTAGCACCACGTTGTCTTTTCAAACGAATCTAGGTTCTGAGTACAGCATCATGACGCACGTATGCGTGTGGGGATACCAAAGAGAACGAACGTTGCCAACGTGCATTCGTCATCATTGTACTGGCTTGTTTGTATGTGGTGCTATGCGTATACATCTCAGTCACCTTTTGTTCGCATAGCTAGAAATGTGGACATCCCCCATTACATTTCGGACGTGTTAAGTCCCATGGCTGTGTCTTATTTTCAAGGCTTGCGTAACACAATCTTTGAAGAAGATAATGCACGGCTACCTGTTGCTCGAGCTGTCCTGACCTTCTTCAATACAGAGGTTATTCGACTGTCATGCTGGACGGCATGTTCTCTAGATCTTTCATTCAATGAACAACATTTATGATAGATTGTCGAGAGATCAGCACGCGACCACTTACTAGCGGCTACAACTGATAACCTCTGATACAGAGTTGAAGCTGCATGGAATGAAGTACCCGTACCTGTCATTTAAGCTCTGTTCAAACGATTACTCTACTCAATGCCCAGATAGATTAGATAGAGCCGTCATTAGTGCCAGAGGTAGCAGCTCTATGTATTGAACTCTGCGCGATAGGGATCCAAAATCACTTACAAACTAATTTAAGTCTCCCTTCTATTATACTGCCATATGCACGATAAATAGGTTTCTGCTTTTGCTTTCCTTGCTGGTGTAGCAATTTTAATGGTCAGCAGTATATATTGTATACTATTCTGTTAACGGGGAACCAGTTAAGGCTAAACATAAACATTGGCGCGAAATCTAACTAGATTGCGGCAACCCTAACGATACATAAATCTTCATGAAAGAACAACTGTTTCATATTTAACGCATATAATCTGTACAATCTTTAGTTACTGTACAATCTGTACAATCAATGCCGAATTTCTGAAATTTTCAGATTTTTTAAGCAGAAGCAGATCTTTTTGAACATTTGGGCAGAATGAAACTGTTGTACTCTCCGTATATGCAGTAAACTGTTTAGGTTTAAATATATCAAAAATATCATTTTACAAATTCGGCATCGCCCATAGCTTCGGCCTTGCACACATTAAATGTTATAAATATTACCATCACACAACTGATCGTAATGCGGTGGAAATAAACTACTACAATGGCGCTTTGAAGAACATTATGGTGGCTGGTGCCCGTTAACTGGAAGGACTTTGTATTTTTTATAACATAGATTATATATGATGATAGCAGATTTGAATTTTGTGCAGACTTTTATCTTATACGATGTCAGATTTAGTATATAACCATTATTTAGGACAAATGTTCTGAACTAAAATTTCTAGAAGTTTAATTGATCTTATCATTATAAATATATTATCAACATAACTTCCCATATATAGTTGAATTTTGATATAAGAAAATTTCTTGAGAAAAATTTACTAGTAAAATTATATTTCTACAGCTGCAAGTGCTGCAACAGACTACAGGAATGAAACTGTCAAGTGTGCATTTAGAGAGTATTCTTCGTGCTATAAGAACATAGAAATGCTTGGCGCTAGTTTATCAGTCATGTACGCTGAAACGGAGAATCAGTTAAATATAGTATGCAAGTAAGTATTTTTTATGATATTAATAATAGAAAACGCCGTTTTAATAAACTAAACACTAACTCAAGAATACTTACAAAAACTAAACGCAAGAAGACTTAATTTATTTAAAAGGCGAGTCATGTGTACGCTGTAAACATGTCTCTACTTAAGTAGTACACGATTAGAAATGCAGAAAAATCCCTGTAGCGTATCCATAGGAGTGGAACCATTAATCATAACAGTTAGTTTCAGATAATCCAGAAGACTCTTTACGCAGTTAAAGACTGGAAACAAAGTTCATGCACATTTATTAAGGAACCAAATGCGTTTTCAGTCCATTTACTAATTCCATTTTGTTACTTTATCCATTTTGTTAGGTTAAAATATAATATGTTACTTATAATGCTCGAAATTGAGTTATAAAAGTATGAGGTAGTAATAATTAAAATGACCTTAACTAGTCGTGTAAAGCCCGTTCTGATTGACGCATTTCGTTGAACTTGGTAAAGAAAACTACGATAAAAAATACTTCAAATTGCAGCCACTTTTAGAACGCGTTCTTTATGTGTACATAGAACATGATGCAGATTAAAATACGAATAGCAAAGGATGCAAAATCATACTTCATAATGGCTGTAGAAAAGAAAAATCGAGTTTTAATGGTTAAGTTCTTTTATCGAAACTTCAGAAGTAGTCTAGGTAAACAGCAAGAATATCGACCTTTGAAATGCTTCCAGAAATGAATTACGTCGAAGAATAGTTTGAAAATGATGATCACTAAATTTGAAGAGGCTGAGCAGTTGAGTGTGCTTCCAGGAAGAGAACGGCAGCAGATTTTGAAGTAAATTACAGAACAACTCGTTGTCGCAATGGTTAACACAGCGTCGTGTTCCACATATTTTTTGACAAATGCTTAGTCTGTAGCATGAAAGGTTCTGCAATCCAAGTAATTATGCATACAAAATCCATTTGCTGTAAACCTTTCGCCCTCAAGAACTGCGTCAGCGAACTGATTTTGCTTGCTAGGTTTTAGTGAAAAAGCTGTTGACAATTTATGGCGTTAGACTATTTTGTTATCAGACGAGGTGCGTTTTACTGTAAGTCTGCTGTAAGTCTCAACGCTGTCCATGGACAGTCTCTGCATTCTAATAACAAGGCTGTATGGTGTAGTTTTGTTGCTGACATCATCCTCGGCTTCCTTTTGTTTGAGGGGAATATTCCTGAAAGCCCTGAGAAGTCTTCTGTTACGAGTGCCCCTTACTGCAAACTTCTCCAGCAGCTACTCAATCTTGTATTACAAAAGCAAGAATGTTTAGAGACTAATGTTCTTTATTCAAGATGGTGCAACACCTCGTATTGGACGATAAGTGAAAGAACTGCTTTGTGGTCCCTTTGAAGATGATCCGGTTATTTTGGGAAGTTTTTGGAAGGCCTAGCCTCCTTGTTCTGCGAAATTGAATCATTACGAGTTCTGGTTATGGGGATTCTTGAAAAAGTCAGATATATGGAAGAAGCATACGGACTCATTTTGAATTAAAAAGAAGCAAGGGAAGCAGAACACGCTATGCTGCTTCAGTTCTCCAAGAAATCCTGTTTTGTTGAACATGTTACAGCGCGATTTGGACATGTGATTGACGCAAATGGAATGCACATTGAACAAAAGTTGGGATTAAATAAAGCTATTGGTGGTCAAAATTTGAACTAGGATTTTTGTTGCATTTTTTTCCCATTACTCATATATTATTACATATAGCAAGTTTCGAATTACATCAAGCAAAATGGACACTGCATTGGTCTGTTTAGGGTCGATTTAGTTATATGCCTCTGTGTTTTAGTGTAAGGAATGCTTTTGTTCTGAGTTTTTACTCTCATTGCTTAGCAGTTAGGTAAATTGCTCTCATCGATTCCTGAAGAATATACGTGGAAGTTATTTCCATGAAAACCTTTCAGATATATCAGAGTCCAGTATTTTTGTATATAAGGTACAGATCACGAGCCTAAAATTGTTACGATAAAAAATAAAGTTATATAACAAGATAAGTATGATTATCTAGTGTAATTCCATAAAAACTTTTGACGATTTCATTAATAAACTTTACATATTGCTTTTTTGATTATACCAGATAACCAGTGTCGTATTATGTACAATGTGGTTAAACAAGATTTAATATACTACTGCGACAATGTTCTTCGAAGTTTCTTTGAATACGATCGACAAGGATGACATTAACCGAGTGCAATAAATTTTGTTCATTTTGCCGTTACCACAGAAAAAGTCATCGAAGGCCATATGCAAAGTAAATGTCATTTACATGAATGACCTCCCATCGAAAGTTTCCTATGAAAGAATTTCTCTTCTTAGGAAACTATCTCTTTTCACATGCTGTATCATAGTTACACGCATGCAATAAAGAAATCGATATCCGTGGTTTTTCTGCAGATGTGAATCATATGCTACTCAACCGCATGTCCTACGGTTTTTCAGAACTTTCTTTTAATAAAGCATTGAGACATCGGAGCTAATAATTATCTGTATGAATTTTTATTCATTGATGATTAATTTTTATTGTTTGATGAAATTCATTAATTTCATCAAACAATAAAAATTAAAATGCTTCTAATTGTAATACGAAAAACAGAATTTCTGTCAAGAGCAATATATACGCATTATCATTGTAAGACTATCACATGAATGATTTAGATAAACATAAATTTTCAAAACTCTTAAAAACAGGAAGACTTATGAGTAAAACATATGAAGAAAAAATTATACTGTATTTAAATAAGTTTTTAATCATTATTTCAAAATTTAACTTTGAAATCTGAAATTTTACAGCGGATGACGGGGACCTAATCTTAATATAAAGCATTTAGTTATTAATAAATGAATATTTTTCTTAAATTAATTATATCTTTTTTAATGTATGTGTAAATGCCTTTTTCAAATAAACATTTTTATGCAAAGTTTCTTTTGATAATAAATATAACATTCGTAATTTTGACGATTTTCAAAAGAATACCATGAAATATAAGTAAAACTTTACAGCAGTTAATGAATTAATAAAACCTCTTACATTAAAATTTGCTAAAGTTTACACAGTTTACATTAAAATGTGTTCCCAAACATCACTTTCCAAATAATTTCTCCCAAACTCTTTTCACTAACATCACTTTCCAACTAATTTCTCCGAAACTCTTCTCACTTCTTAATGATTTAGGCCATAACGGTCTTAATTCATGGTATATAAAGCTAACGGCTTTATATACCATGGGTTTCTATGATGAAAATTAAGTGAATAACAAATATATGGACTATAACAAATAACAATTATTTACGTCCAGCATAAAATGTACAATTTTAAGAACACGAAGCTGAGATTTAAAAATTAAAAGCATCACGTTTTAACGAATATTATGAAGCACATTCAGAATATATTTAGCATAAAAGAATAATAGTTTATCCAAGTGAGATATGACTATAGTTTTAATATTAATAGAAAAACGTTAGAACGCAAAAAAAAGAGCATTTAATGGGCGTTTGTGTCACCTATAAGTTAAAATATTTGAATGATATGTGTAAGTTCTATATTTAATGGAAAAAATTAACAAAATTTCACACTGAGCAAGCGATATACGTTTTAAAGATAAGACACACAATGCCTCGAATCCGCGAATCTTGGAAAATATTCGATGTGAGAAAATGCGTTTTTGTGGCTTAGAATGACTTTTCTCGTTATTCGACTTTTACGAATCCGAACCGTTAAATATTTTAACACAAAACATTGAATAGTTTAATTTTATTGACGTCCAGCATAAACTTTTCTTAAACATCATGCAATTGCTGCAGTATTAGTGATACCCTGCTTACGATACCAATATTAGAATAATCTGAGAAGCACTGCTCACTGCACTAAGCATCAAAGCTTTTAAAAAGTAAATTAGGTTGAACTTATAAAGAGTTTAAATGTTAGTTTCCTTAAACGCAAATCTACATTATCTGTTGTTTTCTTAAATCTTCCTAAAAGGGTTCCATATTTTGTGAATTTTCAAACTCTTAAAATAAGATAACCTAAAACAAATAAGTTTTTTATTTTTACGTTTTGGGAAAGAATATAGCATTCCATGTTAAGTGCTTTGTAATCTGTTTTTTTACTGATTTTTTTATTTCTTTATTTGTTTTGATTTAAAAAAGTTTCTTGAAGGTATAAAAACTTTAAATGATTACTGGTTCTTATGTTAATTAACCAATTATTATTATTTTGGTCTTTACTTGAAATTTTCCGTATTCCTCACCAGAATCAGTGTATTTTAAACTGAAGTGCCGGCAAATTTAGTTGAGCCAGCTTAAAGCTTATTTATCTAACCGTGTATTCTTAAATTGCTCCTATCAACTTTCAAATTTAAGTATCTGCCATTGATTAAATTACATCGTCACAAGTAGGGGTTTCATCTGTAGCACAAGTCGTGTCTTCTATGTTAAAAGTTAAGTTCAATAAAAAGGTTGTTTAAACCTTCGCAAGTCTTTGTCATACTATTTCATACACAGCGAAAACACATTACTTATCTGGTAATAATGCAGGCTTTAAATGCAAGTATCATCTCATGTGCAACTTACATATTGAAATATATTTTGGTAAGTTGCATTGAAAAAATTAACTTTAAGATTCTTTGGCATTTTTATTAATTTTAATTGCTTTATTTAAAAAACTTCTTTTGTATCTTGTTATGATACGCATATTTTTAAAAACTGAAATTTTAAATTTCTGTTTCAAGTTTAAAATGCAGATCACAAATTCAGTTTTAATTAAAAATTGTTAATATTAAGTGCCTCTCAGCATCCTGATTTTGATTCGAATCTGGATTCGAGAAATTTTTTTATCAATCGACCTATATAATATTTTCTTAATATGCTTTAAACGTTCTCCTAAGCTGAACCTTTGAATTATTATTATCAGGCAGAGATCCTAGATATTAGCTGTTAAAGAAAAATTAACTTCATGCTGTAAAGTCATTGGGTTTATCGAGACATAAAAAACGTGCAATGTTCTCTTCGAAATTCAAACTCCGGACGTCTCGATCACACATCATACGTGCATCAAGTTTCGCCAGGAAGGCACATGAAAAGGAGGAAGGAAATACTTTATATATTTCTCCTGTTAAAGAGCTGGTGAGGGGACTTAATTGCTATATCTTGGTAGCAACGAATTATCGTCCACTACCTTTTAGTTCGGGCGCCACTTGTTGAGTCAGTTGGAAGCTTAGATGTCAGGAAACTTAAAAAATTATCAGTTCCTTTGCCGGAAGTCGAAGTCTCGACTCCCCGATTACGCGTCGGACGTGCTTCTAGTTACATTACGAAGGCACTCAGAAGGTAGGGAGAAAATACATTATTATGTATTTATTAGATGCAGGAACAAATTCCATGCACTATAAAATATTAAAACAATAAAATTGTAATTTTTTAATCCTGTTACTCAAAATGTTAAATGTAATTTGATATTGTTTCCTTTACAGACATGAAGAAGAGACAAGAACGTGTATCTCAGCAATCCCTGAAGCATGCAATGCTCTTTCATCTACGGAAGCCAGCAACAATGTAACATCACTGATTCATAATTTGTGCCGTAATAAAACAGTAACTCATGGTAAGTTTTACTTTCATTCTGGAATTTTTTTTTACTCATGTTACAAAAAAATAAGTTTTGGAGACTAACTAAAGAGGCTGCTTGAAATTATTTTCATTTATCTTCTTTTTCTAATTTTTTTATTTATCGTCAACTCTGTGTATAAAGCATTAAGGACAAGTTCCTTTTAAACTTAATAACCAGCTGGTCGTTCAGGGCTAGGATTAAATAACTCTATTTTTCAGATGTCTGTAATCGTACTAAAACAAGCAATAGTGTATATCTTGCGAAATTACTTCAGCGTGAAGTAGCAATCCGACATCCCGCATCCACAGACATAAAGCAGAAAGCTCCTTATTCAAGATATTTGCCATTTACTGCTCATTATTCTGTTATAAAATAGAGGACTGCTGTGAAATGATTTCTAGCCCTTGTTCTAGCTTTTTGCAATTATATCTCTTTTCTAATTATGTGCAATACACACATATAATAATAAGTAAACAGACAGAGTTGCAAAAGGGGCAGCCAACAATGCACAAGCGCCTAAAACACTCAATAACGATTCTTCATGTTTCGCATCTTAAAAATATGACAAAATCCACTTTCTCAATGAATAGCCAAATTTGTGAAATAACATTACTGTTAGAGAGTGAGATCCGTCGAAATAATGACGGACTGTAAGGAATTATAAAAGTTTATTCATCAACGAAAAGGCACAGGGGCTTCAAGGGTCAGAGCTGCACGTACTTGTTAGCACTGATGGTTATTATAAAACATGGCAAAGGAGCCAAAAGTGAAAATCGCACTGCTCGCGGTCTAGAAAGGTTCTAACTGTTAGGGAAGGCATCGCAGCACCCTCCAGGGAGATGAATATTACAAGATAGGATAGGACGGAACATCCTGCCCCTTGTTGAAATATTTATATTTCAATACAACATAATTGCATAAGTAGCATTTGTAATATAATAAATGTAACATATTAAAATGAGAATATCCATTACGACATAATTCATTCTGGGATATAATAGAATAAAATAGATAAACATGCATACAGTTACAAAATTTAAAATACCTAATACAATATGATTCTACATTAGTGTTAGGTTTATCAAATAAACATAAGTATTATTCAATAGGTAGCAGACATACAGGGTGCCTCAGAAAAATATATACATACAGTAAACTCTCGATTATCCGCACCTGCCGCACAAAGTCTTCTTCTT